CAAAACCTTAACTTATATATAACTACCATCTAATATTGTATAAGCAGATATTTTGAGACAGCTCATGACCATAGAAGAACTACATGTAAACTTAGGTCTTATTTGGATAAAATTATTAAAAAGCACTTATATAGAAGAAGAAAATATAAAAATAAAATAATTCAAGAGAGAAAGGTTTCTTGTGCATATGCTACGGTTGACCAATAGTAACAAGAACCTTTCATTCTTTAGTTCTTTTCTTTAGAAAGAAAATATGGATCACATTCCCTATACTCCCAATAAACTTTCTTTTTTTAGCATTCTAGTATTTTTTGCCCCTTTCCCCTTTTACATTGAAAAGCTCGTAAAAGATTTCATGTTACCAAATATCAGTCATTTCCTTCATACCTAAGTGATTTGTGGCGAAGAGTAGTTCTATGTTGTTTTTGGACAGCGTGAAAGGGGATGCCCCTATTCCTGCATTGTTTCTTAGAATTACAACAAAAAAACCAAAAAAAAAAAACATTATTACTCTTTTCTTTCTTTGAATGATCAAAATTAAGGTATATGCATATATGCATATGTGAGGGAGTCTGTAATTAATAGTGTGAAACTGAACAACATAAACTTTATTATTAGTTGAAAGAAAAGCGTCAGCATGCTCACTCTTGTTCAAATACATTTTGTACTATTGATTAAAATTAATTAAAAATTATAATTATAAGTGAAATTTATTAAGTAAGGAAAATGTATAAAATTTTATAATTTTTAATAAATTTTAACTTATAAAAAAATTATATTCGTGTTAAAAATGTGTTGTTAACATTTTTTCAATTGAAATTAATTCAAGTGAGACCTATTAAATTCGGAGAGTTCTACATAAAATTTAGAGGTTCTCACGTTAATTTCAAACTAATAATAATTGAAAAAGGTTTCTTTCAGCTTTTCTTATACACGCATAAAGAAAGAGATTATAAGTAAGAATTGTACTATATAAAAACATTATTAAGTAGGTTAAGCAGAAAATGTGTAAAAATATTAACATTGTGTGTAGTGTGTTTTTCTTACATCAAGATGTTCAATGGAAGACCAGATGAATTGAAGTCTAATGCAAATTTCCTCACAGATGCCATTGAGCTGAGATCTAACTCCATCACATCAACTTTAGCTGTGGAAATCTCTTTAAGAATTGTTTCTTTAATAGCTTTTGCAGCAATCACATTTCTCACGGCCATAATCACATGGACTCCACGCAAAGCTAGAACTCTTGCAGTTTCAATGCCAATACCATGGGTTGTTCCTATTATTAGAATATCCATCACCAAAATTAATATAAAATTAAGGGGCACATACATGAATACTAAGCATGTAACACATACCACGATAAAATATCTTTTACATAAATTATAATATGTTATCATATAATTTATAATTAAGGGAAGCCTACGAGGGAAAAAATGCAAAAATAAAAAATATAAATGTTGTGTATCAGGAGTTACCACACACATACACATATCTTTATATTGATAAGATATTGTTCACTTTTAACACGGTCCTCATGATTTTACTTTTGGATACTACCTAAAAGACTCATCAACCAATGAAGAAAATTATGTGAACATAAACTCATTTCTATCCTTTAATTTGAGTAATGTAGGACTTTACTTGCATCCCAACAATAGACTTGCGATCAAACTAAAAAAGAAAAGCACAAACTCAAATACCAATGAGTGTAAGACGTATAGCCATTAAAGTGCAAACTTAATCGGAAGTTGTCAAAGTTAAAATTTTGGATGAACATTAAGCTTAACTATTGATGCATCATGTGTTTAAATATATAAAATTGGCCTTAATCGCATTCTAGTTGTATGATGAAATGCTTTAGTAATTACAAATTTAGGAACGACTAAATAATAAATTATTAAAGAGTCATGTTATCCTATTATTATAGGTAAAAGAAATGTTAAGGACTAACTTTGTAATAATTTGTAGTTGACAACTGACATAATATTAACATAATATTAGACATGGCAACGGCGCGGGGTGGGTTTTATGTTTTCCGTCCCCGCCCCCGATACTCGCTGGAGGTAAAATCTGGGTACCTATTCTTCGTCCCGTTCTCGTCCCCTCTTCTTTTTTTCTTTTTTTTTTTAAAAAAATAAATATGAACAAATTTAAAAAAAAATAAAAGAAAAGTAAAATAATATAAATTTTTACATATAAATATTTTTAATTTTGGTTTATATATATATAAAAAATTTAATTATATTAATTATTAAGCAGGGCGGAGGCGGGGGCGAGAGCGGGGGCGGGTATGGGGCCAGGGGTGGGGCGGGAATTAACATCCCTGCCCCCGCTCCCGATTTTATCAATCGGGAAAAACCCGAATCTGAACCCGATAAACACAAATTTTCCCCGTTCAAATCAGGTTCGGACAAGTACCCACGGGACGGGTTAGATTATCATGCCTACATAATATCATGGGATTGATGAAAATACCAATGTATCATTGTCGTAACGTGATAAAGAAATACGTGAAAAGAAATTGTCAAAGGTGGAATATTCAAACTCCTTCCATAAACTCCGACAGCTACAATTAATAATCATTAACTAAGCTAATAAGTGTTTAATATATAAATGAAAACCTAAATTGTATATGTTTATCACTTGTATAAGTGATAACATTATTAATATTATTATTATTAATAAAGACTAAAAATATATTCAAATCAAATTTTATCTAAAAACAAATAGGACTTAGATCATTAAAAAATATTGAGTCTAAAATTATAATTAATATAATAATAGTATTATTTTTATTACTAGTAATTAGGGGGAAAATACTTTGGATCTCTCTCTTTTAAAAAAAATTCAGCAAAAAAAATCTTTTAAAAAAATAAAAGAAAGAAAGGGTATATTGAATAATTTATAAGTAGTTAAAGGGTATAATACTCTAATAAAATGTGGAGACGAAAAAGAAAATATCTTTTTTTCCCTAATATTATAAATATTATTTTTCATAATATTTTAAAATTATATATAAACTCACTATACTTATGAGGAAGGAGTTAAGAGGTAAGGTAAGTCTGTGAGTTTGTACGACCAACATCCTTAGAAACATAATATTAATATTCTAATAATCTAAAACTATTTTACACAATCATTCGATCATAATTCATCATATATAATAAATGAGTAATCTTTATAATAATTTTAAAAAATTATACAAACTATGATTTATAATTAGTTAATTGTATAAAAAAATTATACAGACAACACATCACTATTAAATTTAATCTTTAAACACTAAAATGAAGCATTATTAATCAATCAACATATGGAGAGAAAGAATTCCTATAATTTCTTTGACACAAGAAATTAGTAATATGTATATGTATATGTGTGTGACCTGTGACAATAGCAGTGAGACCAGTTCCATGGATCCCTTGAGTAACTTCCTCTGCAGTAGAAGACCATGAAAATCCTGAAGAACACATGATCACTAACTCACTCTCTTTTTGTTTGTGTGTGGTTTGTGGGTGTGTTTGCATGTTCTACTTATAATAGATGTGTCATAGTTGCCGTCTCGTTGGTTCCTAGAATAACAATTTAGAATCCACCTCATTTGTAAGTGACGTTTTCTTCTCATTGTTGGATAACTAATGAGTAAATTACATTCATATAATATTGGTGTAAAAGAAAAATCACATCATCAACTAATAAATATTATTAGTATGATTTTTAAGATAATTATTAAACTACACATCTATTTTGATCCTTAAATTTGAAAGATGCTTTTATGTTGATCATTGAAATTAAGAAATTAGCAAATAAATATTTAAAATGTAATATAAATATTTAAATTTAACTACGAACTATCAATTGGTGTTTAAATATATTTAATATTATCACTTTAGTCACATTTTTTAAAATTTTGGATTAATATAATTGTTAATTTGTATTTTTAGAAACACATTTAGTAATTAATTAGTTTTAAAGACTAATATGACAATGAATTCAGTTTAAGAACCATTTTAGATGTTTATTCTAATTGTTATAACAGTCAAATAAATTATTTATATAATAATAATTTGTAATTCAACGATAGAATAAAATTACTTTAAACCAATGCATAATATTTCTTATTTAATTTTATTGTTTTATTATTAAAAGATTTATTTCGATATCTTAATTTTTAACATGATACAGTTGTCATTTTCATCTAAATTAAACTAATGATATTATATAATTTATTGTATATGTAACACATGTCACCACATATAAAAAAGCATGTTAGTTTAAATTGAATGAAAAATAATAATTTATCATTTTAAAATTTAAGAAATCAAATTAAACATAATTAAATAAAACATTAAAAATAGTAATTTATCCTTTTGTTGAGACTTTTTTTTCAGCCACTTTTTTTGGTTTGAAGTATATGTCCCAGTCCCACGGCCGGCTTATAATTTATATTCTTACCCGGCTTAAATATTTTTTAAAACCTGTCAAAATCAAAAGTTTTAAATGTTTATATATTTTTAATGGGTTTCTTTATTTGAATATTAAAATAGTAAACTATTTTCCTATACATGTATCTCAACAATGTATTGCAAAATTTAATTTAATGTTCAAGAAATATTTTTCCTGTGAATTTTTATTTTTGTTATAAAAATTGTGCGCTAATTAAATTAATTTTCATTAAATATTATTTTTTAAAGTTCCTCAACATAAGAGGATTAATTTTCTAATGCAAACTTACCAATACACAAACAATGAAGCATAAAAAAAATCTATCCCGGTACACTAGTTATGTTGCATGGATTCATGATATATATAATTAAACAAATCTAAAATATGAAGCAATGTTATAGATATATTTAGGGGTGTCAATTTAATGTATGGTTCTTCATGTCTCCTTCTATAAAAGTCCTAAGTATTTTAATCTCACTTAATTGAGGGACTTAAAATCCCTAATCTATACAACTCCAAATAAAAAGGAGTTAGGGCCAAGGTCCAAAGGGACTTGACTCTACCGTATGTCATATTATTTCTTTTTTATTTTTTAATAAAAAAATGACAAGAAAAGCTTTTCCCAGCTTATTTTTATTTATTTATTTTATATAATAATTTAATTGTATATGTAAATTTTTGTAAATAACTTATGATGATATATAATTTTTTAAATATGGATTTGTATCACTTTTTCATATTTATGCACTTTTTTAATTTTCATTCTTAAAACATGTTTCATTTAAATATTTTTATTTGATTTCATCGCATAAAATTTTGTTTATTCTATTTTGAAAAACATTGGAAAGTCAAAAGTAAAAAAAAATTGATTTCAACATTATATTTTTTATTTTATTTTATTTATAGATAATAAATTAACATATTATTAATCTTAATTTTAATCAATTATATATATAAAATAAATCATATTTATATGATGGCATGTGATAGAATATACCTTAAAAAAATTAACCACTTAAAATAAATACAAGATTTTAAAATGCAATATAAATCTAGAAGAATTTAAATATATATATTTTTATTTTCATCTGATAAAAAATTATAATTTATGATAAAATTATTTATTTTTATAATAATTACTTTAAAAATCATGTTTATTATTTAAAATAAACTCGAATCAATTATATATATTTTTAATACTAACAATATATAAAAAGTTAAACTCATTTTACAAACTATCTAATGTCTCTCATCTATCAACTATCAAATTGAGAAAACTTACAAGATTTTTAAATGTAGTACAATTTTACAAGAATTTAAAAATTATACATATTATTTAAAATAATATAACTAATTGGTACGTAAGATCGTGAGACAAAATATAATTTAAAGGTTTGTTTAAAAAAATAAAAATTGGAAGTTAGTCCATAGACTGTATAGAGTAAATTAGTTTATATAATTATGGTAATTTTTTAATAAATTTATTATTTATATATGAAAAAAAAAATTTGGCCCATAAACTTTGGAGGATGAGCCGGCCCATTTGACTCGTCTGAATGTGTTACAATAAAAAAGAATTAAGTGGAACTGTATTGTGTCATGGTACTTACTGACTCCTTCACACATGTCTGGTAAACGAAGTGTGTGTTGAAGATCATGTTCCAACTCTTATTCATGAAGTTCACGTATTTTCATCATAACTACTATCTTAATTTTATAAATTATTAACTAATCACTCATATAGCATGCTATGACATGATATCACTCATTTTTTTTTTATAATTTTATAATTTTGTTGCATATTAAATTTAATGAAAAATTAATTACCTTTAAATAAATTTTTATTTAATTTTTACAAGATTTTATCAATCACCCAAAATAAAGTAATCAAATATCCTTATTTTGAGTCAACGTAAATGATTAATGATTTATTTAGACAAATAATTTATTTAAAATCTTATTTAATAAGTTTTTATAATAAAAGTTTATGTTATAAATACTTAAAATTTAATAAGTTGTTGTATTTAAATATTCATGTTAATAAGTACTTGTATAATTTTAAGTGTTTGAATATATAATTATTTAAGTATTTATAAGATGTTATTTCATTTTAAAAATTATAAACTAAATTTTGACTAAAAATAAAATAAAGGGCTTAAAAATGTTTTAAGCGCAACAAAATTAACTAGTTTTGATTATAGTCCTTGTAAAAATATTTCATCTCTTTAAAATTGAAACTATTATTTTTAGTCCCTATTTTTAATGTAATCATTTTTAACTACTTTTTGTTTATTAAAAGATTACGTGAGATATTACATGCAATTGTTAGTAATATTATGTCAGTATTTGATATCTCTAAAAAAAAATTAGATCCTTAAAATAATTGTTGTTCATTTACATTAAAATATTCATCAGGAAAAAAATTAGTAACTTTAAATTTTAAAGGAATGAAAATAAAATAAAAAATATTTTAAAAAGATCAACAAAAACTTATTTATTTTATGAGGATCAAAAATAATATTTTACAAATTTTAGAAGGATAAAAAAACAAAAAAAAATTATAGGGATCAAAACCAAAACTCCTAATTTTATAAGGATTAAAAACATATATAACCCAAATAAAAATATAAAAAGTTAATAAATAATTTTTAAAATTGACATTATACACCACTAATATTAACATTAATAAAAATTATTGTTCACTATTCACCTAATTTTAATTTATAAAAAAATTATTAATAAAAGTAGAATAAATCAATTATATATATAACTGTGATTAAAAATTAAGAACAATAAATTTTAAAAATTAATTTTATATATTTTATAAAATCATGGTAAAAAGTTATTGAATAATATTAGCAACAAAATTATTCCAAATTTTCTATTTTAGAGAAAACTAATTACAACGTTTTCTGATGATGTGGACTTTTGAAGAGAAGAGGTATAAAAAATTAGAGGAGAAAAGAAAAATAATAAATAAAACAACAAAAAACTTTTGAAGTAATATATTGAAGAAACATGAGGGGAATTATCCTACTCATGACTTGGAGTTGGTAGTTGTTGTTTTTTCCTTGAAGATAGGGAGGCACTATCTTTATGGTGCTAGGTTCAGCGTCTTCAGTGATCACAGAAGCCTGAAGTACTTGTTTGATCAGAAGGAGCTGAACATGAGGTAGAGACGGTGGATGGAATATTTGAAGGATTATGACTTTTAGTTGATGTATCACCCAGGGAAGGCCAATGTAGTGGCAGATGCTCTTAGTAGGAAATCCATCCACATGTCTAGTTTGATGGTGAAAGAGTTGGAGCTGGTTGAGAAATTCAGAGATTTGAATCTCTATCTAGAGTTGGCTCAAAACCACATCAGTTGCAGAATGACTACCATAGCTAATGAGTTCTTGAAGCAAGTTGGGTTGAAGCAGTTGCAAGATCTTGAGTTGGTGAAGATTTTTTTGGTTGTTGGGTATTGAGAAGGCAGTTGGTGTTAAGTTGGGTGGAGATGGAATTTTGAGGTTTAAGGGCAGAATTTGCCTACCTCATGACATTGAGTTGAAGAAATCTGTTTTGGAGGAAGGCCACAAGAGTAGACTTAGCATACATCCTGGTATGACTAAGATGTACCAAGACCTCAAGAAGATTATCTGGTGGTCTAGTATGAAGGGGGACATTACTGAATATGTGGCAACCTGTTTGACCTGTCAGAAGGCAAAGGTTAAGCACTAGAAGCCTGGTGGTTTGTTGCAGATGATGGAGATCCCAGAGTGCAAGTGGGATAGTATCACTATGGACTTCATTGTTGGGTTGCCTAGGTCAGTTAGGAATAGTGATGCTATTTGGGTTATTGTTGACGGATTGACCAAGTGTGCGCATTTCTTTCCTATCAATATCAAGTGGTCCTATGAGAAGTTGACGCAGTTGTATGTGAAGGAAATAGTACGGTTGCACTGGGTGCCTTCCAATATTATTTTAGATAGGGATCCGAGTTTCACTTCCAGATTTTGACAGAGTCTACACCAAGCCTTAAGCATGAGGTTGAGATTAAGTTCTGCTTATCATCCACAGACGGATGGTCAGTCAGAGAGGACAATTCAGTCCTTGGAAGATTTGTTAAGGGCTTGTGTGCTAGACTACTTGGGGAGTTTGGAGGAAGTCCTACCACTGGTAGAGTTCACGTATAACAATAGCTTTCATGCTAGTATCGGTATGGCACCGTTTGAAGCCTTGTATGGTAGGAGGCGTAGGATTCCTCTGTGTTGGTACCAAGATAGTGAATCAGTGGTTGTGGGGTCAAAATTAGTCCTACAGAATACTGAGAAAATAAAGTTGATTCAGGAGAGTATGAAGACTACCCAGAGTAGACAGAAATCATATGCTGATAAAAGGCAAAAGCCTTTGGAGTTTGTTGAGGGGGAACATGTGTTTCACGTTTCACAGTTGAGGAAGTATGTCCATGACCTGAGTCATGTAGTTGAGTTGGATGAGATTCATGTCAAGGAGACCCTGACTTATGAGAAGAGACCGGTAGCTATGATTGATTTCAAGTTGAAGGAGTTGAGGGGCAAGTCCACTGGATTGGTGAAGGTTCTTTGGGATGCAGCTACTGGTAAAGAAGAGGTTAACTACTTCTCCTATGTTGGTGTTGCCTGATCCTAGTGAGCCATTTGAGGTGTGTTGTGATGCTTCTCACCAGGGATTGGGGTGTGTGTTGATGCAGAACCGGAGGGTAGTGGCATGTGCTTTAAGGAAATTGAAGAAACATGAGGGGAATTATCCTACTCATGACTTGGAGTTGGTAGTTGTTGTTTTTTCCTTGAAGATAGGGAGGCACTATCTTTATGGTGCTAGGTTCAGCGTCTTCAGTGATCACAGAAGCCTGAAGTACTTGTTTGATCAGAAGGAGCTGAACATGAGGTAGAGACGGTGGATGGAATATTTGAAGGATTATGAATTAGAGTTACCATTTTGGGTAACGGTTTCGTCTGTACTTGACCAACACTAGTGTGTTCTATTTTATAACCAGAAACTTAGTCATTTTCATTTTTATTTATACATGTATGTATAAGTTGTCCAGCTTAATATTTCTCTTAGTTTTACTAGCAGTAGTGCGATTCCACTAAGTGTAGAGACCATGACAGGTTGTTACAGAAATGATGAAAAAGAAAATTATATATGTCGATAATAAAATTTAAACTTAAATATTTTTTAATAAATTTTTGTATAAATTAAGTAATAAGTTATATTGAACAATTTATTAAATTAAATTCAAAACATATTATAAACTACTCAAAAAAATATTTTATAAATTTATTTAAACATTTTCATAATTACTTATAAAATAATATAATAACAAATAAATTATTCACAAACATTTTCAAATGAGACTTAAATTGTCCAAATATTGAACAAACACAACACTTTTAGAAGAAAACTTATTCTAACGCTAATAACTTAATATAATAATATAATATTTGGAGTCAGCATAAAGTAATTAAAGTGTCCAACTTTTGAGCAAACAATTTTGCAAGTATATGCCATAGTTGTTCTTTATTAGTCACTATGGAAGTATATGCCACCAGCTTTGAAAATTAGCCCTGGCTAATGACTATTGTAATCAATTAATTTCAAACTGAAATCCCAAAGTTTCTTAGCCAAAAGAGGGTCTGTTGGGAGTGAGCTTGCTGTATCCACATTACTGTCTGAAAAGTACTCGCCACTAATTCCCTTTACTTGAGGGTGCAATGCCACATAGCATGTTGTTGCTGCTCCCTACGATGAAATTTGAAGAAGCTGAGAATGCAAGATTAGAACAATCATAATTAATTAAATATTATTCAACTTTTGGATTTCCATTAAGATATGTAATAACAATGTCCCTAACATTTATATTTAATTGATCAAACTAGTTTAAATATAATTACCTGCTGGATATTTTTCATCACCATTTTCCCAAACTTGTTCATTAATTCTGCATGAGTGGAACAGAAACATAAAAATCAACTATATTGTCATAACTTTCAAAGACAAATATTACTAATCAAGATAATTTTATCTATAATATATATGTTGATGTCACAAATTTTCTACTATAAAAAAAATTATTATGTATTGATACTGATAATTAGTAACATAATATACTTGTCATTAAATTTATTTTTTTTATATTATATTATATGTTGATATATTATTAAAAATTATAGATATAAGTAATAATAACATATAAAATATATTAATGAATATCGTTCAAAATTAACATTAAAATTTTGTAAAAATTTTGTATTCCAAATTCCTTAATTTGCATGATTAATTCTTAATTAGACAAACTATAAATATGTATGAATGATGTAACGTGGTAATTACCCGTTGGCACACTGCCACTAATCTCTGGTTTATAAATATTGGTAATAATAGCTCCTGGATGAAGAGAATTTGCAGTAATATTTACTCCATCTTCCTGGCCATGGTGTAATCATAGCACAATGAACATAGTCAAATATTAAAACTAAGTTGGTACAAAACAAAATTGATATGTGCAATCTAACAATACAGAACCAAAACAAGCTTTATAAAATTCGACTAAATATCAAATCAGAAAGTTCATCAGTTCACAAATAAATTGGTTGAGGTAGATTCACCATTACTGCCTAAACTAAAAATAATAAAATTGTGTTAAAAGTAAAACAATAAAATATAGGATACAATAGTAGTAAGATATAAACACGTCTCTAGTCTCACACAAATAACATATTAAATCAGAGAGAGGAGCCATCAAAACATTTGTTAATACTCAAAAGACAATGAAAAGAACCATGTGCAAATTCAAAATTTGTTTATCTGTAACCAGTCAAAAGTTTTGAGAAGGTTTTTTTTTTTTTTTTCAGAAGTTTAGAGAAAGTAATTGAAAATAATAAAGTCAACTCTTATAGAACATAATTAACCAACTACGTGCAAATTCTCGAAATTCAATTTTAGTCTCAATTATTTTGAGTTATTTTGGTCTTATAATTTTTTTTTTTTGGTGCACTGGAAAATTAAAAGAAACTACATGTATCACCCAGGGAAGGCCAATGTAGTGGCAGATGCTCTTAGTAGGAAATCCATCCACATGTCTAGTTTGATGGTGAAAGAGTTGGAGTTGGTTGAGAAATTCAGAGATTTGAACAACATATTTAAAGTTCATCTATCATGCCAACTTACACAATATAAACAACATAAATCAGCTTAAGCACCCAACAACTCAACCATTTCAACAAAAAAAACATAATGCATAAAGCTTCCCTAACCTGAATATTGGCTCCGAACAACCAAGAATTTGGGAATAAGAAAAACTTTCCTCGGAGCTCGACTCTCGAACTTTAATCCTTCAAAATCAAGCTTCCTAGCGGACCAGATTCCTTCTCTCTAAACTTGTCTCCCTTCCTCTCCCTCTTTCTTTTCCTTTCTCTCCCTCCCTAACGCCTATTTATAGAGGTTAGGAGTGGCCAGAATGGCCCGTTTCAAATCTAGAACGGCTCGTTCTAGGCTCCTTCGTCATGTGTAAAATTCACATGCAGAACAGCCCGTTCTGAAACCTAAATGGCCCGTTTTGGCATGTCTAGAACGACCCGTTCTTAAACCAGAACGGCCCGTTCTGGAGTTGAATTTAACTCACAACAACCACGTTTGGAACAGCCCGTTCTAGTCTAAGATTTATAGGCCGATTTAGTAGTTTGGAACGGCCCGTTCCAATTTGGAAATGGCCCGTTCTAGGTTACTAAATCATCCATGACCTTCTGAAATACTTACTAGGTTACAATACCCCCCAACAAACAGGAATTTTCATCCCTGAAAATAGACTTACTTGGGAATAAAGAAGGATACTAGTCTCTACATTGCTGCTCAATCTTTCCAAATAGTCTTACCAGTAGCTGCATCCCAAAGAACCTTCACCAATCCAGTGGACTTGCCCCTCAACTCCTTCAACTTGAAATCAATCATAGCTACCGGTCTCTTCTCATAAGTCAGGGTCTCCTTGACATGAATCTCATCCAACTCAACTACATGACTCAGGTCATGGACATACTTCCTCAACTGTGAAACGTGAAACACATGTTCCCCCTCAACAAACTCCAAAGGCTTTTGCCTTTTATCAGCATATGATTTCTGTCTACTCTGGGTAGTCTTCATACTCTCCTGAATCAACTTTATTTTCTCAGTATTCTGTAGGACTAATTTTGACCCCACAACCACTGATTCACTATCTTGGTACCAACACAGAGGAATCCTACGCCTCCTACCATACAAGGCTTCAAACGGTGCCATACCGATACTAGCATGAAAGCTATTGTTATACGTGAACTCTACCAGTGGTAGGACTTCCTCCAAACTCCCCAAGTAGTCTAGCACACAAGCCCTTAACAAATCTTCCAAGGACTGAATTGTCCTCTCTGACTGACCATCCGTCTGTGGATGATAAGCAGAACTTAATCTCAACCTCATGCTTAAGGCTTGGTGTAGACTCTGTCAAAATCTGGAAGTGAAACTCGGATCCCTATCTAAAATAATATTGGAAGGCACCCAGTGCAACCGTACTATTTCCTTCACATACAACTGCGTCAACTTCTCATAGGACCACTTGATATTGATAGGAAAGAAATGCGCACACTTGGTCAATCCGTCAACAATAACCCAAATAGCATCACTATTCCTAACTGACCTAGGCAACCCAACAATGAAGTCCATAGTGATACTATCCCACTTGCACTCTGGGATCTCCATCATCTGCAACAAACCACCAGGCTTCTAGTGCTTAACCTTTGCCTTCTGACAGGTCAAACAGGTTGCCACATATTCAGTAATGTCCCCCTTCATACTAGACCACCAGATAATCTTCTTGAGGTCTTGGTACATCTTAGTCATACCAGGATGTATGCTAAGTCTACTCTTGTGGCCTTCCTCCAAAACAGATTTCTTCAACTCAATGTCATGAGGTAGGCAAATTCTGCCCTTAAACCTCAAAATTCCATCTCCACCCAACTTAACACCAACTGCCTTCTCAATACCCAACAACCAAAAAAATCTTCACCAACTCAAGATCTTGCAACTGCTTCAACCCAACTTGCTTCAAGAACTCATTAGCTATGGTAGTCATTCTGCAACTGATGTTTTGGTCTTATAATTTAAAAATTAATCACTTTTGACCTTCAAATTAATTTAGAAAACATTAAAAAGTAGTTATAAAATCCTTATTTGTATCATTTACGACTAAAAAAGATACATTTTCAATTTAAAAAGTTAAAATAAGAAGAAGAAAAATTAAGTATCTAGAATTTGAACATAATTTTTTTTTAGAGGGATAAAAATATAGTTTACCTATGTCAATCATTTTCATCCTTGTGAATTTAGCATTTATAATAACTAGCAACAAAGAAAGCACTTTGTGTATATCTACAGAATTTTTTTTTTAAAATATAAATATATTAGTGGAGGTAGTGAGCAATTAGAGTTTCAATGACTGAATTAGTGATTCCCTAAAGAGAACCATTAACTAACTTTTCTCCTTTAATCATTTTTCAATACAACATATTTCAGCATACCTTTAAACGCATTGCTAGTTCGTTTGCATGTAAAATGTTAGCTAGCTTCGATTGTCCGTATGCACGCCAGTTCTCATAACTGTATACAATCAAGAAAATTAACCAAATACATATTATATTTCTTCTTTCCACAAATACTATAGTATTCAAGTTTTCATGCTTAATTTTACGTACAATTAAGGCTTGCATGCTTAATCTACGAGAAATAATTATATCCAAGTTCATTAAATTCGACTCATGTTAATGGGTTTTTGGTGGAGTCTTTTATATGATCTTTTTTAAAAATTGTAGTATTATTAATACAAAGTAGGTTAAATACTTTTTTTTTGTCCTTTATAATGTTTTTTTTTTCAATTTAGTCCCACTTTAATTTTCGGTCTCAATTTGATCCCCAATAATTTAAATCGTTCCAATTTGGGACTTCCGTCCAAATGATTTAGACGGAATTAACTGGTGGCCACGTGGATGCCAGGTGGATGCCACGTAGATGCCACGTAGGTAGATCAAAAAATACTTGAATACATCTGGAACCAGAACGGCCCGTTCTGAAACCAGAACGGCCTGTTCTGATTACATTATTGGTGTGTAAATTTTGCACCTGGAACGGGCCGTTTCAGATCCAAAATTAACACACCAACAGTGTAACCAGAACGGGCCGTTCTGGTTTCAGAACGGGCCATTCTGGTCCAGAATTTCGGGCACAAAAAACTAAAATACAAAGCATTTCAAATACTAGATTTGGTAATATTGTTAATGAGGATTAATAACTTCAATTGCTAAACATTTAGGGTATACAGTATATCATTAAGGATGATACAGTGTATCACTAAGGACAATGGTAACAAGTTTTATTTCATTGTTAGTCAAACTAGAGTGAACCACTTATTACCAAATTGACACTATACAGTCAAGGATAAAACGAAACAGTGTTTTTCCTTGAAGTCATTAACGATGTACTCCAACAATAACAACTTGTTCTTGAGGAGGTACCCCTAAACCCTGAATTTTAATTTCAATTTTTGAAATACATTGCAGCATTTTAGTCAAGATTTTGAACTGGATAAATTCAAATCAAAGAAATATTTTGAAAGGTCTTATCTTATTTGATTTTTTTTAGTTTTATTCATAAATGAATATTAATTTATTGTGTTTTTTATTTATTATATATTTATTAATATAGATATAATAAAAAAAGAATAAAAAGCATGGCGTTCTGGAACAGGCTGTTCTGAATTCAGAACGACCCGTTCTAAAAGCAGAACGACCCATTCTAAAAGTAGAACGGCCCGTTCTGGTTTCAGAATGGGTTGCTCTGCTTGCAGGTTTTTTCCAGCATTTTGGCGTCCACGTGGCATCCACGTAGATGCCACGTGGCCAACAGTTAACTCCGTCTAAATGATTTAGACGGAAGTCTCAAATTGCACTAATTTAAGTTATTGAGGACCAAATTGAGACTGAAAATTAAAGTGGGACTAAATTGAAAAAAAAAATATTGTAAGGGATCAAAAGAGGTATTTAACCTACAAAGTATTTATGGTTAGAAATAATGATTAATTTTTATCAAGAATTATGAACACACATAAAATGAATATTTTTACCCCCAACATAATTTATTTTATATTCAAGATTAGGATTCAAATCTTAGATAATTTAGTTAATAAATACAAGTCGTTATCACTTATATATTCACCGGTGTTGGTAGAGTCTTTTATGTAATACATTCTATATAATGTTAGCATCTTATGTAACATATGGACACAAAAAATGAATAACACAAATTGATCAGAGATTTACAATAATTTTTTTTCTATTTTTTTGACAGCATATTTCTTCTATATTATTTAAAAATTGAACAAATATTAATTCCAATGGTAATAAAATTGAATCCCCAAATTAATATGTATTTAGGGTACATCTTACCTTGATTCATCGTTAATTTTATCAAAAATGATTCCTTCTGAATATGTATACCGGTGACCACCTGAGGTAACATTAATAATTCTTCCTTCTTGCTTGCTTGCACTTGCCGATTTCTTCATAATATCCAATAAAAGATTTGTCAAAAGAAAATGACCTGTGGAATTATAATAATAATAAAAAAGTCAAGACCACTTTTATATAATTAAAGAAGTAGAAGAATAATTACTTGAGGTTCTATATATTAACTACCATATTCAAACTATATAAGTCGACAAATAAACAAACTTTGGTATAGTTTTTGATAAATTTATCGATAACTATTTACAAAAGAAGAAAATAAAGAATAAAATATATTGAATGTCTTTCGTTAGCTAAATCAACTTCTACAACTTACTATTTTTGTTTTATAGAAACTCTTTCAATCAACTTCATTGAAAGCTAAGATGCATAACTCTAATAACTCTAATTTTAACTTAGAAACAAGTTAACATGTATAAGAGAAGTTCGATATATTTTACTTTAATATTTATTCCTTACTATCGATAAAAGCATTATAGTGTTAATTTTTTCCTTTCCCCTATTACACAATAAAGCTCTTAAAAGATTTCATGTTACCAAATACCAGACATTTCTTACATACCTAAATAATTCGTAGCAAATTGTAGTTCTATGTTGTCTTTAGACAGCGTGAAAGGGGTTGCCAATATTCCTGCATTGTTTCTGAGAATTACAAAAATAGCAAAAAAACCATTATTGCTCCTATATTTCTTGGAATGATTAAAATTAAGGTACATACATGTGTAGAATAAGAGTATGAAACAACATAAACTTTATTATTATTTGAAGTTCATGTTAGACCTAATAAACTCGTACTCCTAATTTAGAAGATATCACATAAATTTTAATCAATAAAAAATGAATGAATGTCTACAAAAAAATGTGTTGTTAACATCTATGAAATGTATGAAAAGAGGTGATCATAACTAGAAATCTTGTCGATGAAAACATTATTGAAGGGGTTAAACAAAACATATTTAATAAATTTAATAAAGCATATAGCTCATGTAGTTTCTTACATCAAGATGTTCAATGGAAGACCAGATGATTGAAACTCAGATGCAAATTTCCTAACAGATGCCATTGAGCTAAGATCTAATTCCATGAAATCAACTTTAGCAGTGGGAATCTCTTCAAGTATGGTTTCTTGGACAGTTTTTGCAGCAATTGTATTTCTCACGGCCATAATCACATGCACACCACGCAAAGCAAGAACTCTTGCAGTCTCGGTGCCAATACCATGGGTTGTCCCTGTTATATGGAATATTCACCATCAACAAAAAAACAAAAAAGAAATGCAAATAATAGGCACATATATGATACTACAAGCATGTATAGTATATTTATAACTAAATTATACTCTTCTCATTGAAAAATAAAGATATTATATTATTTATTTTTTATATAATTATATATACAATTTACTCCCATCAATAACTTAATCTATTAAACAACATTACGTTACCTTTCCTTTACATACATATATTATATCATCTCCTCATGTGGCATAATCATACTCTGAAGTTAAATTCCTTTCTTTATTTTTCCTCTTTACACACTTGTACATAATTTAATTAAGGACTTGCCTTTTTTTTTTTTTTTTAACAACAAATAAAGTAAAATATATATAATATTAGTACAAGGGGTACCATAACCCATGTACAATGGTATATTTTAAGGACGTGCCTTAAAAGTCTGACTTCAATGGTATATTTGTATATATCTTATTCAAGCTTACACTTTAAAGCTATAAAAATTAAATTTAAGAACTTCAAAACCTAAGGCATTTACAGCATATTTTACCAATATTTTGTGTTAATAATAAAAAAACTATCAATACTGTTTAATGAAAAAAAAAAGTTATGACTGAAAATTATTATAAAAATCAGATAATTTAGTAAGATGTATTTTTATCAAAAAAATAAAAATATTAACAAATTTTTAATATATTAGATGTTTGTTAGCTTGTTAATTAGCATTAGATGCTTTTTAATGTGAATTAATATATATAGTAATTGAGAAAAACAGAACAATATATATCTTTCTTTTCCTGCAAACTCTATTAAAGAAAATTGTAAGTAAAACAAGTCATAAGTACGTTTAAATTTAAAGTATCTACAAGTCAATCAAGGTTAAAAGATTAATAATTTACACTCACTCTTACACATACTAAGACATATAACCTCTAAGAAACACACTTAAAAATAAATTTCCAATTTAGAATTTCGGGGTGCAGTGAGCTTGGTAAAGGGTATTATATTTGTCTTCTCAAATTAGAATTGAACCTAAGTGCATCTCATCTGTAGCATGAAATTTTTAGTAATAACAATAACAAATTTAAGAGACCCCACCTGTGACAATTGCAGTGAGACCAGTTCCATGGATCCCTTGAGTAACTTCCTCAGCAGTAGAAGTTGATGAAAATCCAGACATGACTAACTCACTCACTCTCTTTCTCTCTCTGGTGGGTGGAGTGTGTGGTGTGGCAATGGCCAATGGGTGGGGACTGCATGATCAACTTATATGTGTTAATTAATTAGTTGCAATATACTAACATTTTTTTTAATACAATAAAAGCCTAAGTGAGGGTGATCCAGAAGCTTAAAGACAAGTTTTAAAGTTCTATGAGTCATATACTAAGATAAGTCTTAAAGTTTTATGAGCCATATCTAATTAATTGATAGATAAATGAGTTCTTTAAATATATTAATAAAAGTTCGAAAGTTTTAGTCATATGTATGAAAAATATTTTATTAAGAATATTTTTGGTATAAAATTATTTGGATAAATCTTTTTATAAACACTTTTCGAAAAGTAAAACAGAAAGGATAAAAAATGAAATAAACTTGCTTATAAATTAAAATTAACTTATATATAAATTATATATTTTATAGAAGTTTTCTTTTATTATTATTTTTTTAAATATTATTTTTAACTCATGTATATGCTTGTTTTAATTTATAAATAAATAGATAATTATGGATAAAATAAAACATAGATAAATAAATAATTGCCGTCTTGTTGATTCCAAAAATTCCAATTGAGAATCCACCTGTTGTCCAAGTGACGATACCTTCGATCTCCTTGTTGGATTATTCACCACTTTGTTTTGGCTTTGGCTTTGGTGATTTGTTTGGTTTGATATATATGTCCCTTTGCCAAGGCCATCTTATACCACAAGGTCCTCACTCTGATTTTCACCTTTTTTACTTTTTCATAAATAATTTTCTAATTTCTATTCTTATCGCGTTAAATATTTTTGTTAATTAAACTAATATTTTGAATTTCTCAACATCAAAAGTTTTAAGAGTTTAATCATTTATAAGATTTTACAACTCAATCAATCATAAATCATTCTTACTAATTTTTTAAGATAGTGTATTATAAAATTAACAAACTTAATTTTTATATATGACAGTTTATAACTGAATAATATGAAGGCTTACATATTATTTATTCAACTTTGAAATATTTACTGGTATGTGTATCGTATTTGATTTAAAATATATTTTATAAAATAATAAATATATTTTAAAAAATAAATTACTTTTATTTTAGTTTCATATATTAAAATATATTTTATTTATTTTAAATTATTGTTATACTTATATCTTTATTTTATAATAATAATAATAATAATAATAATAATAATAACAGCAAAATGATATTTTTACCCAAATTTAAGTGATGTATATGTTAATGATTATATTATCTTCTACATTAAATTTTTTTATTTATTTAATATCCATTTACTTTATCTCCATTTTAAAAGGTATTGACAAAAATTACTTCATCGTTAATTTCCTGATATAGATTTTGTCAAATGATTCTACATAATCTTTGATGTTCACTAACAATGCTAGCTATATCAGTAATGAGACATATATCAAAATCCTTTTCACCTCCATCCTACTTTTATTGAATAAATGTGGGAATTTTTCAAGCATGGATTAATTGACCACTTAAACTATATTTATTATCTAACTATATGTTGACCCTTCAATTTAATATATGATTGTCTTATAAAAGAGTGGGAACATTAATTTGAAGATTATCTTAATTTAGTAATATTAAGATTAAGATATGTGTGAATTTTTCAAATGTTACTGAATATGTTTACTTCAAATTAATGTGAATCAAACATACACTTCTATTGTTATTCAATAGTAGTAGCGAACGAAAGAACTTTATGCCATCAATATAATAATGGTTCGACGAAGTGGAAAAATTTATTAGGAACGAAAATATGAAAATAAAGAATCCAGGTGAAATTTTAAGTTACCATCCTTTCCTACAATTGCATAATGGAGAACCATTTTTACAATAAGATTCAATATCTCTCAAAATTTAAAAGCGGTTGTTGCTATTCATTTTGCAACTTGATTTTTGATGGTGCATTCAATTACATGAGAGGTTATGGTTATTGAAATTGATGTGATCATAAATTATTACATTGAAGTCCTAGTCATGTATATATATATGTGCATATTTGTTTTCCTAATTAAAGATGCATTTATAGACCATTAAAACTATATTTATCATCTAACCACATACTGACCTTTCAATTTGACATGTATAATGACGACATAATTATTATAAAAGACCAAAAAAAAACATTTTAAAAATTATCCTGAATTTAATAATATTAAAATTAAAATATTAATAAATATAAGTAATCGATATAAATATAGATATTTTATAAATGAATTTACTTATTAATTTTTATATAATTGAGTTTATTTATTCAAACATTTAAAATTTAATTTAATATTGTATTATTTTTTTTATCCATAAAAAAGTTTGCAAAGACGCGATAAGGAAATATTATATACTGTATTATATATATATATATATATATATATATATATATATATATCTTTTTTTTTTTGCATCTTTTATTTTTTATATTTATATTTATGTATAAAAGGCATATAAACTTGAATTTAGTGTTTAATAAATATTGTCTTTCTAATTTTTAACTTTTAATTGACAATAAGAGTTACTAATTTAATTATTTTTGTTGTTGTGCTAATTCCCAAACCTAATGCGGCTAGAGGGTCACAATCCTTGTGCAAACAAATCAAGACACAAACAAAAGTATCATCAGCTATGGATGCATGCATGACATAACACAAATTTTAAATATGATGCAACCTTAGATATGTTACAATAAAATAACATCAAGGTAATCAAACTCTGTTATATTGTTGCATAACCCACTCTAGCAACTTAATTGTATAACGACCTACCATGATCCTTATATTTAGTGGAATCATATTATTACTAATGAATTAAGAAAAATATTAAAACTGAATAACTCATACATACAAGTAGATATAAATATAATAATAATTATGTTTCTATGTACAAAATATAACACCAAATATGTACAGTCATCCAAAATAATAACCCTTAGTGCTGGTCAAGCACAAACAACAGTTACCCAAGAAGATAACTCTAACACTAGGACAAAACTTCTCATCTCGCAACGGTCACCTCAACTCCAAGCTAGCCCTGACCTGCTTCCATACAAAGTATGATTATCGCAGTACAACCACATGGAAACAGAAGGGTAAGCTAGAGTTCAAAAATCAATCATACAAGTACAGAATAAATTTTATATTACACATGCATCCAAATCAAGTCCCAAAGGGGCTCCCATCTTAAATCATTCATCATTTCATCAAACATGAAGTCAACACCACACACTTCATCATACTAGAAAATCATGCAATAATATCAACAAATGACAAATATCAATGCATATCAATCATCTAATGCGTCGTCACGCATTCACCTATGAGATCTCCCTAACAGCAGAGCAGTGTAAGTGACATCACAATCCTACCGAAACCACCCCAACTGTTTTCACGCTCAATGCACTCGCTCGGTCACAGCTAAACAGGATATAATTATAAATCCTCACTCGGGTTTACTCAAATGACGTCACTTACACACTTGGAAGTCCGGTTCTACCATCAGGTATAGCACAGCTGGATACAGGCTTACCACGACCTTGACATTCATTATCAAGTCACTTCTGGAGTTCGTCCACCGGCTATCCGCAAGGAACCACGCACCTTCCCCAGTACTTGGTTAAGGGAATAACCCTCGACCTCGTACTCTGCTCCAACACTAGCTAAATACTTAGAGGAGACTCACTCAAACCAGTGGCCTACCTGAGCACCACTGTCACCCAAAACCAGTGGCCTATCTAAGCATCACTCTCATTTATATCAGTGGCCTATCCAAGCACCACTCTCAAGAGACTCTATGTGAGCTCTTCTAGTTCAAAAATATTTTCCTCTCCTCAAGTCCTAGGCTAGACACATGCCATAAGGCATCACATGCAATAATCCATCATACATCATACATGGTCTATCCACCACCATGATCAATATCATTCTCATATGAACATATACACATGTCATATCATATTTAAACATTCATACATATCATTACAAAGCATACATATTAGTCATACACCACCATACATCATATATCATACATACATGATCCAAAACTTCAACTTTAAACATGCATAAGCATCATTTTCAATCCAAAAACATCAAACTCACTCACGCCCGACGCAACCAAATCACGCCCGGCCTAACATCCAACCTGAGAGCTCTACGTTTTTCCACGCTCGGCGCATTAAGCTCGCGCTTGACGTCATCCAAACAGAGACTCATAGGAGTCTCCATGCTCGGTGCACCCAACCTACGCTCGGCGCCAACTCAAACAGAGACCTCAAAGACGCCCCCACTCTACGCTCGACACCACATCAGTACATGAACATATAGGGCATTTATCTGATATCACACCCGGCGTGACTCATCTAGAGACCTCCATCTCAATTCAATCCTGAAGCGACTAACCTCGCGCTCGGCGTGAGTTTGAAATGGTGGCCTCTGATGAATTCACGCCCGGTGCCAAGAACTACGCCCGACACAAATTCAAACAACAGCCCCAAAACTTCAAAAATTTTCTCCAACACCTGAAAATCAAAAAACCCAACCACATGCAAACTAAGAAAAATAATGCATGGGCTCCATAAAACTCGAAAACAAACTTAGATTCAACATGCACCCACCCGATGCATCAAAATCACCCAAAAACCCTATTTTGCCCAAAACCCCAAAATGAACAATTTCTCCAATCCAACCATGAATTCTCAAACTTCATGCATTGATTGAGTTTCTAAACTCACATGCAACCAAACAACATATGTTCTAACTTCCCTCACTTGAAGATTTGCTCAAAATAGCCAAGAACAGAGAAGAAGAAGAATTTTCCTCCAAAGCTCGACTCCCGGATGTCAATCCTCTAAAAGCAAGCTTCCTGCCTGAATTCTAAGAGAAGACAAAAGAGATTAGTGGTCTAAAAAAGAAGAAGAATCAAACAAAGAAATTTGGGAGAGAAAAGAGCTCACAAACCCAAAGTACTTCTCTATAAAACTTCTCTCTGAGATTTTATTTGAGAATGAGCTTATGAGGCTTCCTTCTCAGAAAAAATATTATATACTCTTCTCTCTAACACCCACTAAACTCTGCAATCCACTTACTACGTTATAATTATCTCTTTCAAGTTACCTTGAATGTTTCTACTGGTGTGTAGAATGGAGTCTCCCACATTTTTTGTGCTAAGCACATAAAAATTAATGACCACGTGTTAATAAATAACCACACCCGTCCATGTGTTAATGTTAGTGTTCCAACTCCCATTCATCAAGCTAATTAAAATTACTTATTTAGGTTAAATTATATTTTTAACCCTATTATTTTTATTATACAAAATTGACCTTGTTTTTTAATTAGATAAATTTAATTTTTCAATTTTTAAAATTACATTTGTCACATCTTTTAATAGACCCTCCGTTCACCATTAATTGACTTTGATGTAATAATATGATATGATTGATTATGGTGCGACTGACATGAACCATTGATGATACTAGTATGACATACATTACATTGTTATGAACAATTGGCAATGACATTGATTATTACTCAACTATATATCCATGCAATGATAATATATATTACTATGTCAACATTATTGTGTCACATCATAATAAATCATGTTATATATATATATAAAAAAGTAATAAATGAACCAAGATTGCATTATTATTATTTTTTTTAAATTGAGGGACTAAATTCAAACTATTAGAAAAAAAATTAAATTATGGATTGGAAATTATAAAGGAATTGAAAATACAATTTAACTTTAAATTTATTTATTACCTACTTATTTGGATCATTATTATTAAGTATTGACCGATTAAACTTTAGTCTTGGTAAGTGTTCGGAAAAATCTTATGAAAATAAATTATGATATATCTACAAATTATTTTCAACTTAATTTAACAATCTTTCCATAATAACTTATAAAATTAATTTACAACTTTTATAAAAAAATAACCTCATTTTTCTTTGATTATAGAAACAATTTATACCTAATTTATATGATAAATATATAAAGTATGTTTTGATACAAATTTAAAAGTACTTTTAAAAAAATTTCTACATAATATAAAGAGTATGTATTAGTAAAGAAGTTATGAGAAACACTTCTATATATCTTGTATTTAAACATATTAGATAAATATTTAATTAAATTGTTCACCTAAAAGCACTTTGATCTCTTGTCTAATGTTAAACCACCCAAAAAAATGTAAGTAAAACAACTTTGCTAAAACAAAATCTTTTAGTACCAAAAAGAAGCTTTGATCGTGAGTTTTCTAGAGAGAAATAGGAGAAATTTGATTACCTTTCAAACTTAGAGATAGCAGCAAGTGGGTACCTACGACTTGGGTCAACCAAGAATGAACTTTCTATACTAAAAGAAAACAAATATCAACTATTCATTTACCTTCTAATCCCATGATTAGAAAAAAAAAA